ACTGAACTGCCAGTGACACGGTAAGTGTCCTTACTATTAATTTAAGTGGAATTTTCTATTTGCAGCCAAATGCTAACTTATTCAGATGGCAATCTCCCCAAAGTAACTTATAAATATAATGCAAACCTCATAATTCAATCTCAAAGCACTTTGAGGACTTGACAAAATTATCTAAAATTCATATGAAAATTGAATGAAAATGGAAAAATTTTGCAAAAGAAGCATGTATGAAATTTGTATTACTATATAGTGCAAACATACAGCACACTAACAAACATACATACAGTATGAATCATCAGATGAACAAACAGAATGGAAAATTCCAAAGAAAGCCAAGCATATATTAATAGATAGTATGTACATAATGACAGATCATCTCTAAGTCACCAAATTCACATCAAAATAAACTGCAGATAAACAAAAGTTAAATGTTAAAATGTTTAGAAATAAAGAAAAAGAAAATTTCAAGATGGGTGAATATATGATTTCAAAGTTGAAAAATACCTTTCTAAGCATTAAGCTCCAAAAGAGTGGGGACTTTTGCCTCGCTTGCTTCTATTCAAATTCTAGAACAATACCTGGCATAGAATAGCTACTTAATCAATATGTATTCAAAATTAATGACAGAAGATAAACATAAATGAATTCAGGTCTAAGTCTAGAAGTCACACTGTGTGATTCATTTATAAGTTTTGAAAAGAAACATGCAGAGTAAACAATATCTTTGAAGGAATACAGAGGCAAACCAAAGAGAAGCAACAAATGATAAAGACCCAGGAGAGTAGCATCTCTGAGGCAGGAAGGGGAGTGGGATTGGGGCCAGGCAACACAGGGCTTTGAAGATCCTGTTAATGTTGGGCCACTGCCTGCTCTCATTATTCTTTAGACTGTACAAATGTTAGTTTTGCATTACTTTCTAATTAACAACAACAACAACAACAAAAAAAAGCCAACAACTCTGAACTTTATACACACACAATTAAAGGAAAAGGCCAATAGGGTACTTAATATTCTTATAAAAAAGCACCAATAAATGTCCCGATGCACTGTTTATTTAAAGACATGCTGGTTAATGTTAATGCCCTGTCATCAATCTGACAAAGGTTATAAAAATTAATGAGTTTTGGGGAAAGGGGCAACTGCCTTCTCACAGTAATAAAAACTAATAATGGTTAACACACTTTTTGTAACTACTGCATATTAGGCATTGTCCTAAGTGCTTTAAGTATACTCATTCAATCTTCCTAACAGTCCTCTGAGGCAGTATTACTATTAATTACACTCTGAGGATCAAACCACAGAGGGATTAATCTGACCAAAGTCACAAGGCAAATCAATTAACAGAACCAGAAAATGTAAATAACAGTTCTTTCAAAGGCAATTTTGCAATATTCATCAACAACCTTAAAAAGTGCTACTTTTGACCTGGAATTTCAGTGCTCAGAATCATCATAAGGAAATAGATCCTGACACCACCTCATGTCCAATAACATAAAACTGAACTACTATGCAGATACACCATTCTGGATTGAACACATACATTTATCTCCATTCCCTCCCAACGCCATTAAAATAAAAGTTAAAGGATAAAAAAGATATAAAGTTACAAGAAAAATATAAGTAGAGAAGAATCAAGGAAGATGACAGAGAGAAAAAGTTTATGAGAAATGGAAATTAGAAGAAAAAGGTGGTAAGTGATCAAGCAAATGAAAGGAAAATAAAGACTGAATGTCTGCAGACAGCTATGCCACTGAGAAAGGAGCCAGTCTGTACTCCAGAAACCCAGAAAAGCTTTGGACCTAAAAAAAAGTAAGTATGGCTAAGAGAAGAATTTGTCATATATAGAAAAAACAAGCAACAGAAAAATCTAAGTACTGATTTCAGAGGAAAAAAATGGATACACACAATGAAAATATAATTATGTAATCCTATTACTCGGCTCAGCAGCTACCATTATTTATATATTCATAACATAGACACAACCAAAAATTGCACTCAATCTTCACTTTTTTGTAAGTCATTAAAAAAATAATAAATCAAGAAATAGTAATTTTATGTTATTTAGAGTAAAAAAATAATAAATCAAGAAATAGTAATTTTATGTTATTTAGAGATATAAAGCAAAATCCCAGAAGTGGTTGCATTGACAATGAGGTGTGGCAAGTAAATGCTGTATTTTTAAGTCTTACAGTATTAAAGAGTAACTTAAAAAATTAGAATTGCTGCAAAAAATTATAGAATATTCAGAAAAACACAAAACATAAATCCTCTATAAATCTACCAACCAGAGATCATCTCTGTCTATATTTTGGTATCATTCAGCCCTTGTTCCATACCTGTGTCTAGTCTACATATTTTAGAAAATTAGGATCTTCCTAACTATGCTATTCTGTAATCTGCCATTTTCACTTAATTTTTTATGGCATTTCCTCAGTAATCACATATATGTATGCAATCACATACATACATATGCAATACAAAGACCAAAATCAGTACCCTACACCAAATTTTGAATTAATATACTCTTGGGAGAGTTAATCATGTTAATAAAAAGCCCACAAATAAATTTCTTTAGAAAAAAATAAGATTAAGAATATTGTAACATTTTCTTTAAAACATAACTAGTAAAATTAAAAACAATGTTTATAATAGAAAATAGTTTGCTCTCTCCAAAAAGAATTCCTTTGCCCGGGAAAAAAAAATATTTTCACAATATATTTAAAATTTAAATATATTTTTTAAGGTCAGATTACAAAGTAGTACATACAGTATGATCCCTAATTTGTTTCTTAGTATAGGAGAAAAACAAGCCTGGAACAACATACGTCAAAAAATAAATGGTAGTTCTTAGTCATAGGAACATGGATGATTTTAATTTTCTTCTTAATGCTTTCCTAAATTTTCTTCAATGCACTGGAATTACTTTTGGAGTCAGAATAAGACAGCTTTACGCTCTTAAGAAACTGTCTACAGTTAACGCTATAAATAAAAGACAGCAAGGGGGCAGAAACAGTTCAAAAGTGACTTAGCTGATAGCTACCTTTGTCTTTACATCTTCTGTGAAGTTGCTCAAGGCACATCCACACTACACTAAAGCATTATCTACTTGGTGTTTCTTGGGTCTTCTGTTCTTTCATTCAGCAATTACTGAGTCTCTATCATGATCTATGCACCCCTCTAGGTACCAAGGATTTATTTTAGCAGAGAACACGACAAATGAAGTCTCCATCCCTCTTTGACAGGGAAAACAGATACTAAACACACTTGAACAAAAATTACTTTTAGTGGCTAGACAAACACAAGCATACAACACACACACACCTCTACTTTCTTTCAAGTGCAAAGAAGTAAAGAAGGATAAAGGACTGGAGAGATACTAAGGTGGAAAGAGATTATTATTTCAGTCAGGACAGGCATCCTGAGGAAGTGGTAAGTGAGCAGAGCCCTGAAGGAGAGCAGCCATGTGAAGCTGTGGGAGAACAGGCTAGGCAGAGGGAACCGTGTGGTGAGAGTGAGATGGGCAAGTGGGAAGAGTGTAGTAGATGAGGTAGAAGCAGGTGGGGGTCAGCTCATGTTGGGACTTTTAAGTCCACAGAATGATTCCGAATTTATTCTAAAGGTGATGCAAAGGCATCGAGTTCTTAAAAGATCACTTTGCCTACTGCATGGAGAACAGATTGTATGAGAGAATGAAAGGGAAGCAGGCAGACCTGTGAGATGACTATTACAGGTGTCCAGGCAAGAAACAATGATGGCCTGGACCAAAGCAGTAGGCCAAGAGGCTGAGACACGATCTGACATGGATATATTTTTATGGTTCACCCAATATAACTTGCTGATGAATCTATGACACACAGGGAATGAGAAAGCCATCATAGATGATTCGTAATGAGGTGCATGGTCATGCTGGGGCTGATTGGTAGAGAAACAAGTTTGTGAGTGGCAGAAATCAAGGGGCCTGTTTTGGACAAGTGAAGTGTGGGATGTCCAGTAGACAATCTTACCCATGAGTCTGCAGTTCAAGTTGGGGCTGAAGATGTGAAACTCATCTTGAAAGGTATGGGACTAAATGTTACCTCCTAGGGTGTGAGGACAGAGGGGAAAAAAGAAGAGGGCTCAGGACAGCCCTGAGGTCTGCTGACTTTAGAAGTGGCAAAGGGGAAGGTGAATGACCAGTGAGTGTCCCAGAAACCAAGTGAATAAAGTCTTCCCAGCCGGAGATAGCGATCACATGGGTCAGAGCCACTACTGATCAGTAAAGTAGGTAAGATAAGGACTGAGAACTGGTGACTTTGATAAAGGGGCTTCAGTGGGATGATGTGGGAGAAAAGTCAGTTTATGTCCAAGAGAGACTGGAAGACAACTGAGTACAGACAGCTCTTTCACAGCATTTTTACTGCTTTCGGGGCAACAGTCAACCACTGCATATTCACTATCTCACTAGCTCTTGGTATGGGTGTGAAGTAAGAGTTATTGAATGGCAAATCTGAAAATTCCCAATATTTAACACCTTATTAAGAAACCCAAATGGCTGTGAGACAGAAAGCTTGCTTCCTTCCTATCCCATTCTGTTCCTAACATAATTCTTTATGCTCTTCCCTCCATAATGAGGATGAACTGCAGAAACAGCTTCTCTTGCAAGAACAAGCTTCTCTTCTTCTATCACTTGGTGTATATCTGGGGCCAAAATTAATTAATTAGCATTCTGATTAGTAGCTGAATCAAGAGATAAGAGAAAGACCTTCCTTTTCTGCTCCCCAGTTTTCGAGGTTATATAATAAAAGCTGACAGATAATGAGCAAGGGTTAAAAAAAACAAGCAATCACGTCATTCAAATAAAACATATTATTCCAAATCTCTGCTGAGACCTTAAAAATGGTTCTTTAATTTCCAAAATGGGTAACTTTCCCTCCCCAATTCAGACACCTTTCCCTTTATAACAGCGTAACAGTGAAGCCCTGTGGCAAAAAGGCAACGGTCCAGGAAACAGGTTTCCCTACCTGATAAAACGGCATCTGCTAATTCCTTTTCTTTTTCAATTTTTCCCTCTAGAGTTGAAATGCAGAATTCATAGCCAGCAAGAGCAAATTCCTGTCTGTAAAGCAAAGATTGGCAATTGGCTGTTCACAAACTCCTCTTTACCCTCATTTCCCAGCATGGGTTTGAATATTATCAATAAAGGCATATAAGATGGGAAGAGGGAATTTGTTTAGTCTCTAAGGGGCGTCAGTCTGCTATTTCTCAGAAGCTATTTCTGCTTAGTTTTTAGTCACCAATTTAATGGCACTTAAGACACAAAAAGCTAGGAATGCTGCCATCACTTTGATAACTGACACAGCCAGCAGTTTTCATCACCTCCACAGTTTCAAGGAAGTCTGGTTCTCCATTTGTCAGTCCTACACCTGCTCAAAGTAATACTAATATGAACAGAGGCTAGGGCCACCCTGCAAGTAAGGATTCTAATAACTGACCTGTTTTTTAGAGACGTGTATTAGCTTTATACTCTTCCAAGCTACAGGTCTTTGATGAAAGTTTCTTTTACACAAATGGCACTAGAAGGCATTTAACCCAGCTCTAGCCCTGGACCCTCAATCAACTGGAGAGGTCACCCAAGCGGGAGACAGCCTCACTCTGGACTGAACAAGTGTCACCTGCTCGCTTCTATAAAGAGATGCATAGCAACATCACAGAAATTACTTCTCCATCCAGAAATTTAGCCCTAGTTCTTGCTCTTCTGTTTTGGCTCTGGTTTCTTACCCGAAGTTCACCCTTTCCTCTCTATGCTTTGTCAGGGCAGAACAGATGACCTCACTGTTCTACTATGTTCTCAGAAGAATGGAAGCATCCCCAGACCCAAACCTTGGCAGGAGGGACTCTACCCAGCCAAGACATGAAACAGGAGGAGGCTGTCCACAGATGCCCCTAGTCAGAGCAAACTGTCTATGAACAGCTCTCCTCCTAACTAGTAGCAGCTGTCTAAGCCTCAGGATGGCCATATATTTTCTGGTCTCATGCTTCTCCTAATAAAACAAAATGAAAAAACACTTCTGAGGAGAGTAGAATAACTTTATGGGCTAATATCAGTGGCTACTACACAAGCCTTCCCCTCTGTAAGACCGGGATTTGTTGTATTCTACAGCGTTACTGGCTTTGGGCTTCTTACCCTATGAGTTCATAGCCATCAATGTCTAGTCCCGGAGTTACTCCTCCAGGGGAGACTGGGCCCAGCTGCAGTGCTCGCTGGCACAGGCTGACCTCCAACTCCTCTAGGAGTGGAAGTCAAAGGCCCTCAGAAACTGTCCCCTACCTAGTGCCCAATAAATACACGGAGACTAAGTGGGTCCTGCTGCGAATGAAGGAGCTGGTGGCCAGGGCAGCAGGGAGAGTGCCGGGCCCCCTTGCCTCAGTGAGCACTCCACAGTGCTAGCTTGATGTACCAGTTCCTCTGGTACCAAATTCCACAGCAACTAAAAACTAAGGAAAAGCTGGTTTCAGGTCTTCCCTTAAATTCACCCTAAAATATTAACTCCCTAGGGAAGTTGTCTGATGACACCCTAGATGCTCTTCTTTAAAGAAAGGCACCCGGGAGAATGAATGGCACCACTCACTCACCACGGTGCCTGACCTTTGGCACAGAGCCAAATTGGTTTCTAAAGCCATTCTTAGGTAGCTGGCAGACTTTTCTTTATAAGAATTTAGACTCATCTAATACTTTTTAAGTCAGCACTGATGTCCTGTCCTCCTTATCCAAAGGTCTCTTCCACTCCTAAGTATTTCTCCTTCCTAAAACCTAGCTGACCATCTCTACTCCTTTAGTAGTGCCCACTAACTAGCTTACTGAGACACTTTCACAGCAACTATCTATCACTAACTTTACACCCGCCTTTCTGGTTAGTTAATATCAGCAAAATGGTTCCTTCAAAGTATATTATCCCCAGCAGCTTTTACATTGCTCCCTCCTCTCCTAGGAGGGGCTAAATTACAGTTCTGTAACTTCCCTTCCTGGGCCAAGCAGAACAGAAAATTTGATTATCTTTGTCATGGTGCAACCAGAGGTGTGAGGGCTGTATGTGCTGCTCAGCAGGCTCATGGAAACAACAGAGGCAAAACTGGAAAACAACCAAAGGTTTCAAAGATGAGGGATGTAACACCTGGGGTATGACAGCCTATTTTTTTGAAACCCAGCTATTTTCTAGGTAAATGATTCACATTACACTTACTTATTCTGAGCAGCATAGATACTGGCCAACTTGAGAGAGATTTCAATTATTGCATTGTCTTCCTGTTGGGAAAAAGAAAAATGAAGGAAATTCATGAGAAGTAAAATTTCCTTATGGACATTCCAGATCAACTTTCAGACTGACTTTGGCCTGAAAGCCATAGTCTTTATACTTTTGGAGGAATCAGGCTACTGTGAATTCCTCAGCTATCATATTTTTTGCATGACTGAGACTAGCAGTTTTTATAAAGGTCCTAGGGGGAAAAAAATCTATCTTTTTTAGCCATTTTGGGGCCTGGATGGAGTTTTCAGGAAGCAAGATTATTTTGAAAACTGCTTCAGCTAGGTCCCAGCCCGAGGCCAACATCCTTACCTGTAGCATGCCCCCTCCAAGTAGGTAACTCATTGTTGCTTTAAAAAGTTTTTCTGCCTAAAAGCATAAGGAAAAGATTTTTCTTTTATTTGGCCCCCACTATTTATAGACTCTAGACTTGAAGTGCTCATCTGATGCATCATTTCTTGTAAAACACAACACACACTAACACTCACATACACAGAGAAAAGTATCCTTGTGATGGGAAAGACTAAAATACCAGGACCCCACATCCTCTGGGCACCTTAAAAATTCTTCTGCAATGACTAGAAATTAACTTCTCATCCAGCCACTGTGGCAGAAACTGTGAACTATCCCCTACTATTCATGCTTCTCTTCATTTTTTAGTTACAGAATCTCCTTAATTTTCAAAAAGTCAGCCTCTTTTGCAAGGAATTTTTGGCCAAGAGATGCAGGGAGAAGGAATATGAACCATTTTTAAATTATATTTTATAATTAAGCTGGTTGCCCTCCATTCTTTTTTCTTTCCTTCCTGTAGGCTGGAGGTGTGTCAGCTCACCTATGCATATGAGGATGTATCTTAGAAGGAAGATATATCTGAGCTTCTGGACCACTTCATGGAGCATAGGCACCTAACTCTCTCAGTGTTTAGATATCTCTGGACTAATGAATTAAAGAGAAATACATGTCCTTCTAGTCTGAGTCACTCTATTTTGGCATCTCTTTGTTACAGCAGCTTAGTCTGTGATAGAGCACTAACCCTATAGTACTAAGCCTGTAACTTTTACTAACAGTTTCCTGGAGGCTGGTCCTTCACAAATTCAAGATATTACAAAGTGTTTTACTTACATTATCAAGCTGACCACGTATAAATGCTAAGTTGGCCATCTGAAAGCAAATTACAGATCGATTTTCAGTTTAGAGCACTATGTTACTACTTATTTCAAAACTTTTAAGCTAAAAACTCAATTTTTCTTTCACCCACTACATGGAAAAACAGTTTAAAGCATGTCACCAATCTGTCAGAAGCGAAGTATAGCAGTGGTGTAAGAGTAAATATTTGTATATTCTTTACTGATGACAAACCAGATCTAGATCCACTCATTACTGAAGAGGCAAAAGCTAATGATATTTTTTTCTTTCTGGTCAGAGAATTTGACTTCAATAAGTAACATCTCAAGGGTAATAAAAATTGAAACTAAAAGAAAGCTTAGTAAAAACAAAAATGAAAACCAAAGAGCTTTAGGACATCCTGATGGTCAGAAATATAAATCAGGAGAGCTAACAGCCCCTCTCTTTCATCCACCCTTCATCATCAGTGGTTCAGATTGGTTGGAAGAATTACCAAATCGTAAGTGTAAGTGATGGCCTTCTTGTTATTGTTCTGATAAGCAAGACGAAGAGCGTCATGCAAAATTAGCTCAGCCTCTTCTGGCTCATCTTTCATGATGCTCAACTGAAAAGAGAAAACAAAGAATAGAAAATGAAATGTAAAGAAAGCATGTGCTACCAGACAGAAGTGGACATGGCTATACATCCCGACACATACAAGGAAGCTGTTCACTTACTCATCAAGTATTTACTGAATTCCTACCATGTATCAGACATTACATCTACAGTGATGACAGGGGGATAAGCTTCCTCTGCAGCTAGCTGTGGCCATATAACAAAGTTTTGGCCAACAGATGCAGGAGCAGGAATGTGAGTCATTTTTACATAATGTTTTACAAGAAAGTTGCTTGCCCTATATTCTCTTCTCTTCTTGTAGCCTATAAACTTAATTAAAAGTAACCATAACAACTATGAAGACAAGAATCTAAGGGAATAAGGGGACTCCTCTAAACGGGAGTCAGAGAGGCTTTCCAAGGTAGACACAGTTAAACTGAGGTAGTAAGGGTGTGCAAGAGTCAACCAAATAAGGAATTTGGGTGGGAAATGATCCAGAGAGTAGGGAATGAGCAAAGGCCCTACAGGCTGAAGAGAATGGTTCTTCAAGAACCATTCAAAAAATGAAAAAGATGTGAAGGGAAGATGCAAGCCAGAGGATTCCAGCCAACTGGGTGGGCAAGGCAGGGTGGTGTAGTTCATACAGGGTCTTGAGGTCATAGCAAGGAGTTTGGATTTACCATAAATGCAGTGGGAAGTCACTCAAAGCTCTTATACAAGGAGGTGATATGATCCAATTTACATTTTTTTTTTAAAGTGCTCTAGCTGCTGCATGGAGAATAGATTGTTGGGGGACAATAGGGCAAGCAAGACAACTGGATAGTAATACCATGGCGATGTGGCTGGGGTGAGAGCAGGGGAGATAAAAGGGGGGAGACTTGAGAATGTTCTGGATTTGGTGGCAAGAGGATCTGCCGCTGTACTGTACGTGTAGTGGGAGGTGGTGGTAAAGTACTACAAGTTTTAAGAATGACTATGAGGTTTCCAGGTTGAAAAACTAAGTGGATGGCAGTTAAGAGAAGATGGTGAAAGAGTGTGCTGGGGAGACATTTAAGCCCAAGAGTTTAGCTTTGGGCAGGCAGGTCAAGTCTGAAAGGCGGGTGGAATCTCAAAGTGGAGATGACCTGTCAGTAGCACACTGCAGTTTGGGAATATAAATGCGGACGTCGTTGGCCTCCAGGTGGGTGTTAGCCCAATGGAAGAGCTGAGATAACCTAGGAAGAAGGGAAAAAGAAAGAAATGGAGAAAAGAAGCGTGAGATAAAGAACCACACCGCGCATAATCAGCACTAAACTGCATCTTCAGGACGCTACATGTGTGCAAAATTCTCTAATCCAGTTCATTCATGTGGGGTGGTTCACTGATAAAAACAACTGCGGAACATTTCCGCTAATTCTGCTTGGACGAAAGAGCGATGCCTGCGTGCCACCTCCATCTGCACTCGAGACTGCAGCCTGTTACTGCAGGCTTTACAGTCTGACAAGCCTGGATGCACTACAGCACCGCCCGTGACCTATCTACGGGCAGTTTTCCCTCGGAGCTTCCATCTAGTGTTCGGCAAGCTGAGCACCCACCCGCCTCACCTTGGCTCGCTTCAGCAGCTGGATGATCTCCGCCTCGGCCTCGTCCGCCGCGTCGTCGTCGGCGGCCCCGCCCGCGCGCTGCTGCTCGTCCTCCTCTGCGTCAGCGGGCCTCGAGAACCAGGCGAGCGCTGCGGGAAGGGGCTCTGGGATCACCTGGCCCGGCACGCGCCCCGGCCCCTGCCCGACTAGCCGGCCGGCCCCCGCCCCTCACCTGCCAGCGGCGGCAGCAGGCCCAGGCCCCAGCCGTGCGGCGGGACTCGGAAAGGCGGCACCTGCACCTCGGGCGCCCAGCCTCTTGCCAGACCTGGGAGCAGGCGCGCCGAGCAGTACGGGCGCCACCGCCCCGCGGCTCGTAGGAGGCCTCGGCCCAGGCTAGTGATCAGGAGCCGATACATGCCTACGCCGCCTCCTCGGCGCACTGCAGGCCGGGCAGGACCGGGACGCCCGCCCCCAGCGCCGAGCCCCCGCCAGACTGGCTGGGCCGTGACGTAGGAGGAGGAGTCACCATTGGCGTCCGCGTGCGCAATGACGCATACTACGTCACCGCGCCTCGCCCCGCCCCCGGTTGGGGGCGGGAAACTTACGCAGGTCCGTGTGGGCGTCGCGCGCTTTGAGGAGCCCGCGGCGTCCGGTGCCATGGCCGCTTCCTTGCCTGCGTTGCCGGCGGTCACGTTGCCGGCTGTAGTGGAGGAGCTCCTGAACGAGATGGCCGCGGCGGTGCGGGAGTGTGCACGAAGTACGAGCCGGAGGGCGTGTGTGGTTGCGTTGTGGGCGGTGCAGGCTGGGCGGTGGTAGTCTGTGGGCCTGAGGGCGCTGGTTTCGGGCTCCCACGCCCCTCGCCCCGCAGAGCCCGTGCTTTTTCACACGTGGTTGTATCTTCAAACCCCCTGTTCGGAAGGAGAGGAGCGAGAGTGGCAGGGAGAGGAAAACCAAGTTTGCAAATATGTTTAGGGAAAGCGCGGTTGTTCCGGGGAGTGCGCCAGCGCTGGGGGAAGCGGGAACCGACGCCCACCCAGCCCGGGGGCCGCAGGGGCCGGCCCGGCGGGTCGGGACCGCAGCCCGCGGGGACTGAGAGGTGAATCTCGGAATCACTAAACTTGTCTGTGTTTTCTCCCCTCAAAAGCTTATGTTAACTTTAAATTGGATGCTCTCATACACTTCGTTCAGCAAAGAAATATTTTAGAGGCACAAAACCCAACATCCAAGCGCGATGACTAAGGGTAAATCTGGATGTCGTGCGAGTACCTTTTTCCTTCGGTGACCAGCAGAGGATGCTCTGACCTGCTCGCCGAAATGGCCGAGGTGGTCCCGAGACGTGTTCACAGCCTACTAGTGTTAAGAGAAATACCTCCAATCCAAAGTGCATCAACTAGTTTAGAATTACTAAACCAATGTACAAATGGCCACCTTAGGCCTTAAAACAGTCACTGCTTTTATTCAATTAGATGACTTCTGTTTTTAAAAGATCTACATTTTGAAAGGGTTTATCTTGAGTTACTGATTTTAAAGGACTGAGTTATTTTTCTCATTTCAGTTAAAACTAAAGCAGTGTATAAGCTTAAAAGATTAGGCCAGCCAGGTAGTCAAATGTTCTGATCCCCGAAAGGGTGAGGGAAAGCCAGTCTGTAGTCAACTCCAACAGTGGTTGCCAGGGTGGGCCCTGGGTCCGAATGAATCCATATGCACTGTGATGGTCTTGGAGGAAGCCTCGTAGGTGCCCACGATGCTAGTGGGACCACTGACATTGATTCAGGTTTCTTTTTCAGCAGACCATTTCCTGCTACTTAAAAAATTTTTGTTACAGTCATAGACTCTTCCTGACTCATCCTTCAAGGGTTTTTTTTTTAGATCAAGATTCTGAGTTTATGCTTGTAGTATGATGTAAAATTTAGTCACAGCTGTACCTAATGCTAGGATTATTTTTCCTTTCCTGCATAACCTTTTGTTTTCCCTGGAATTACGACTGTTGTTCTTGTGTTTGCTGCTTTATTTTTCTATGTATTTATCCCTAATTCAACCTCAGACTCCTTACCAGTGTTATGAATCTCTACTCAAGATGTTCAGGTGAATAAAGTGTTTTATCAGTTTCATTTTCCTATAGAGATCTCTTCTAGAGCCTTCTGACTTGCTCTAATATGGACTGCTGCCTCCTGAAATCTCCCTTTACTATTATTAGCCTGTGAATTCTCTTTACCTATGTTGAGCCTTTGGTTTAGTACATCCTACAATTTTTTTTTTTATCGGTTTACTACCTTACAGAGTTCATACTTTAGTAGATTCCTGAAGAAGAGTACTTGAGATGTACTTTTTGAGGCTTTACATATCTGAAAAAGTTATTTTTCTGTCCCCAGAGTTAATTGATAATTTGGCTAGGTATTGAATTAAATGTTGGAAATAGTATTTCCTCAGACATTATTCTACCTTTTAACTTCTTAAACTTACTTTCAAAGAGTCTCACTTATTTTAGCCCCTGTTTTATTTCCACTTCCAAAGCTACCTGGTGCCACTCATTCCTGAAGGTTTTTTCTTTTTTTCTTTTTTTTTTTTTTGGTGGGGAATTTTGATTATGGAGGTAAGTCAGGTTGTTGTTTGGCTCTCCCCATTGCTAGTTTAGGGTTAAGTTTTCTCAGGTCTTTTTTCCAAGGTATCTTAGCTATTGTTTCTCCCTGTCTTCATCTTTGGGAGTTTATGCTTTCTTAACAAAAATCCTTTTATTATTGTTTAGTGGAATAATGGGAAGGAGTGAAATTAGATGCATAGGCTCAATTTGCCATCTTACACTAAAATCTTTTTGGTTATTTTTAAAGATTTTAATGTCTGGTCACTCGTTTAACGCATTTAACTTTCTTTCCATTCCTATTTTACAGTTCCTGATGAGCATCTATTATCGTAAGTATATATCCTATTGTATTTGGAATTTTTTTTAATGTTCTTATTAAGCTAAAAACAGTATTTTCTTGACATGACTGCTAAAAATCTGTCTCAAGTGAATAGCTAATACCCTATTTGACAGTAGATGGCATTCTCATATTGTTCTATTTGCCACTTGTGTTTAACATTGTTCTAGAAGTTGTAGCTGTTAGACTAACAGATGAAAAAGAAATTAGAAGTATCTGCAAAGAAACACAAAGTATCATTATATGTACATGATAAAACTACTTTTTAAAAACCAAAAGAAAGTTATTTTATAAAATAGAGAAATTAAAAATCATTTTCCTTAATACACAAATATATTTACAAAAATATAATTACATTCTCAATAACAAAAAAGTGAAAGCTACCTGGGAATAAGTGACATTTAATTGCATATATACACTTGTGTTTAAAAGTCCATAAAGATTTACACCAGCATATACCAATGACTATCTTAGGGAGAAGGAAGGTGGTGGAGTTTAAAGAAGGGCTTAAACTTTGTCTGTAGTAAATTTTTTACAAAGATTATACATTATTTAAAAATATTACTACTTTTAAAACAAAGAAAATAGGCAATAATAAAACATTGCCAAAAACTTTGGAAAAAATGATAAATCTTACTAGGGATCATAAATATAGCTTCCCATCCATAAAACTAGCTGCCACAAAAAGACATAATAATGTTCCAAATGCTGGCAAAAATATGGAAAAAAGGGTAACTGATACCCTGTTGGTAAGAGTCAATTGGTTGGCAACAGGCAATAAGAGCTTTGGTCCAGAAATTTCACTTAATACTTCGATCATAGATGCACGTAAGATTTCACAAAGCATATTTGTCCAATATTGGTTATGGTAGGGAAAAAAACACCTGGAAACAATCTAATGAATAATTAGATTTAATTGGATTTAATAAACTCTTATTACCCAAAAATAGAGTTTGGGAAAAATAAAAGTAATTCATCTTCACAGTGGAATTCTTCGTAACCGTTAAAAGTGATGTAGAAAGGTACTGCATTCAAGAGCTGTGATGTCATAAAGTGAACAAGAGGGGTTTGAAAAAATTCCTAATAGAACTTTTTTTGTAAGTTTTAAAGTTAAGTGTGATTAAGTTGTCACCAGATTTTATTTTCTTTCTTTGTCCATAGTCTTAATATGTTTGATGTAAAAAAATTAAAAACTCTCCCCATTCCAGTGAGTTGGTTGTACAGAGACTGGTTTGTTGGAATCTGTAATTTTGAAGCCTTAGTAGTTCTGACTTATTTTGTGTCAGATCATATGAAAACATTAACTTCTCAGTTTTAGTTCAACCCAGCCGTTTTATTTTGCAGTTTATAAAAATAGTCCATACTTGTAAAAAAAAAAAAAAAAGTTCTTGGAAAATAAATCGTAAAAGCATCAACAGTGATAGTCACTCTCACAGTTTGGTTTATTGCCTTCTTTGTTTTTTCAATTAAATGTTTTATTTTGAGATAATTATAGATGTTCTTTAAAAAATTTTAACATGATTCTGAGTTTCTAAATAGTTTTGTGCTTAATCTTACCTAACTAACATACAGTAAGAATTTTTCCACATACCAAATTTGTCTCTGATATGTCACTTAACAGCTGATACATCGTTTGGATTTTATTACTAATCCAAAAAGTACAAATAACACCCATCAGATGGTTGATGTAAAAATTTGATAATACTGGTGTTGGTGAGGATGTGGAGAAAACAACTCTCATTAGTGCTTGTGGAATAACTATTTCCACTATGGAAAGTTATAATAGCGTAAAATGGAAATTATCAGAATGAATGCCCATCTCTCTCTCTCTCTCTCTCTCTCTCTCCTCTCTCTCTCTCTCTCTCTCTCACACACACACACACACACACACACAAATGAATGCCCATCACACACACACAATGTATGATGTGACAGAAACGTTAATGGGAAGAAAACCAACAAATGCATGTAGTTGCCTTACATGAAAGGAGGTTGGAAAGAATAGGAAGCACTTCATTTGTATAAAGAACTTCTTTATTTGTAAACAGCATATTAACATTTACTCTGCGGGATTGATTACAAGCGTTTCTGATATATTACCTTTTTTTCCAAATTAAAATAAATTGAGTTTTTAAAAAATGCCAGTGGTGATCCTTTGGGTCAAGGTACTGAGGTAACTTTTGAGAGCCTGGCAGTCTAATCTGAAGCCTTTCTGTTTCCCAGGCTGAAGTTTGTCTTTGGCTCATCGGCTGTCCAGGCCTTGGACCTAGTTGATCGACAGTCTGTCACCTTAATCTCATCACCCAGTGGGAGGCGTGTTTACCAGGTAGAAATTTAGAGGTGGGGATTAGCTCAACAGGAACTCTTTGGGACAAAATGTTTTCATGAAACTGCAAGCTTTAACTATTTCCTGGATTGTTGAAAAACATTTGACTAATTTAGCAAAATTAGTATATTAGTAATTAAGATAAATATGACCTATTAACTCTGCTTAGTAGCATTATATAGAACTGATGTGGAACAGCTCTTCTCTCAGGTCTAATCGAGTACAGTCAACTTTTGCTTTCCCGTTGTTTCATAATAGAGGCATTTTTCTGCCCCCAAAATGTATTGACGTCTGCATCTTCTTCATTATCTCTTGTCTACAAGCAAGAGCCAAAATGCATTTTGAGATTGTTTCACATGCTCAGAATCATCTGTCAGAAATGCTCTTTCAAAACTGTTGTCAAACTTTACATTTCCCTGTATGGCCCTGGAAGATGACTGGTTAGCCAGAGATGGGTAAGATTCCTCAAGGGAGGAACAACCTAAGACAGGCACAGTCGCAGGGGGGCCATCAGGTCAGAAATTGGGGATCAACAGAGGTGAGGCTTAGAACCTCACCCCCCCTGTTTTGAGAGAACTCTGCATCCATGGTTTTTTTTGTTGCCCTTGTCTAGCTTCGATTAATACTTAGTCTATAGGCACACACCTGACCATCTACATTTGCCCTCTTACAGCACTAAACTATGTTTTCTACCTTTATCTTGCATCTACCTACCACTTCAGCATTTTATTAAAATAATAATAATAATAAGGGAGAAATGTGGGATTCACATATAAATCAAGTATAAAAATCAAACAAATAATCATAATTGACCTGATTGTTTATAGTTCAGGATGCGTGATCAAAACCGAAAGTTTCTGTGATGACTGCCCTTGCACTGTTCACCATGTAAGAACTTATTCACTATGTAAGACCTTGTTCACCATGTAAAAACCTTGTTCGTTATGCTTCAGAAGATTGGAGACTGTTGAGAATTAGGCTTGGGGTTGATTAATGATTGTGCATTGAGTCCCCTATACAGAATTTTATTGTTGTTAACAACCATATGATCAATAAATATGAGAGATGCCCTCTCAAAAAAAAGCAAAAAACATAAAAAATAATAAAATGGTCATATCTTTGCTTTCAAAAAAAAAACCTTGTCAAGAAGTATTTATTAAGGGTCAAACTGTGCTGAGTGCAGGCAGCCTACTTTGATCTTAGTTTTGCTTTCTGGAGCTTAAGATAGGTGGATTTGTAAATAACAGCCTCTTACCAGACTCTAAATTACTTTCATGTGTTATTGATAATACTCACTGAAAGCCCAGCCTGGTATTTATTTTGCAGGAAACTGAGATGCAGAAAAGTAAATTAACAGTCACCTCTGGCAGCTGGGATTTCTAAGAGCTCTCCCGCTCTGCCTGTCTTCTTTATGTAAACAGGAGGCCAAACTCCAACGCACACCTCCCCTCAACCCTTCCACTCCCCAGTTTAGCCATAGGAGACAACGACAAGTGCAGCTCGGACTGAGTGGAGGGAATATTATGAATGAAATAAAAGTATTGTCAGTAGTCTCCAAATTTTGTGTCTGGCTGGAAGCAGTAAAAAAAGAAACTATCGGCTCTAGGTAACATATATAATCTAAGCCTTGGTGATGGCCAGGAAGGGGAAATTTTTTCAGTGTTTGGATTCTGGTTTATGATTGTGGATAAAGTGAAGGTTCCTGTGGTCAGGATTCTCACTTGGCCCTGGTCAGCTAGCTCACTACACACGTCGGTAATACATTCCTATTGACTTTATATAATAAAGAGTGCCACCCAGTGCTCTGGGTGACATGGTGGTACAGCTGCAGGAGAGCCGACCTGGAGTGGTGGCAGTGCCTAGGACAGAGACTGAGACGGCTGCAGGGAGGCAGAGAGGCCCAGAGGCAGAGACCACCTTGCTGCATGTAGACTCGCTCTGACTGGGCGGGATTCTAGTGATGGACATGCCACCGTGGGAATAAAGTTGGGTATAAACCCTTTCACCCCAAGAGTGTTCCATTGTCATTCTTTGGTCTCATTGAATCCATAGTGAACTTGCCTGGGACTGAAACCCACTGGCCAGACAATGATGAACTTCTCAGAGCTGAGAACCATATCTGGTAATTCTTAGTGAATGAACTGAGCAAAGCCTGCTTGGGCAAATAGGTGCCTTTGCTTAGTGAATTAAGTTGCCATATCATATTGTAACATAACCAATCTAGCAAAATATTTATGCATTTCTGTACTGATGAAAATGGGGTAATCAGTGTTAAGTGCTGCAGTTAAAACTTTTGATTGTATTTATTTTAAAAAGGCTGTTAGAGTTTTCTCATGGTGAATTTATAGATTAATAAGCACAACTTTAAATAATAGTTTATACTTGAGAAGGTGTCTCCATTTTCTTTTCCATGTTTTTATTTTTGGTTCTTATGTAGCTAGAATACGCTAAACAATAAGGGGCTTTGAGTTTTGTCAGTGACTTAGTTTCAGATTTTTTTGTCTCAGTTCCAGTATCAGAACATTTAACCTGTGCAAATGAACTTCTAATTTTCCTCTAGCTATGAGGTCAAGTTATTAGTAAAAAGATTTTGTTTGAAATACTTGTTGACCTTTTGTTCCTCCCAGGATTATCGTGACTTGTTTAATTTTCATCATACACATCCTGTATTATATTACATTGCTGTAATTCATCATAAAAATACTTCCTAAATTGAGGCTATCAGCTTGGACTTTGAATTAAATGAGGCTATGGAAATCTTATATACACCCGCAAGTTAACCTTAATAGTTTCATTGTATAGTAATACAGCAAGAATTTGGCTTAATTCAGAGGTTCTATGAAGTGATAAAAGTTGAGTCAGACATTGCCTTGATACTCTGCTAATAATCTTTCCCCAGGTCAACCTAATATTCTTTTTGTCCTCCAGGTGTATTGGCAATTAATCTAAAATCATCATTGCTACCTGAGTTGTTTTTTAATAAACAATTTAGCTCACCTAGGAGGCTGGGGATGCATCAGTCAGGAGAGGCTGAATTAATGCTGTGGTAACAATGGCCCCAAAATTTCAAAGGCTTACAGAAACAGTTTTATATTTATTTATGTTCTGTATCCATTAAAAGCCTGTTGCTGCTCTGCTGCAAAATCATCTTCACTCAGGGATCCCAGTTGGTGGAGCAGCCAGTATCTGGAACATTGTGGATCCCATAGCAGAGAGAAAAGGACATGGTGTGCCCCGATTTTTGATATTTCTGCTTGGCTACTCACATTTTACTGGCTAAACCAGGTCACACAGCCCTCCTGTGTTTAATAGGGCAGAAATGTATAGTCTTCGTTCAGAAAGAGCCGTCCTGTGTTTAATAGGACAGAAATGTATAGTCTCTCTGGAACACAGAGAACAATAAATACAGTTTACCACTGTGATGGGCCCTGAGAGACTTGGAGCAGTCATAAAATAAAACTGTCCTTGTGAACGGATGGCCATCTAGCTGGGTCACCCTCCTTAGGGCCTAAGTGAAACCATAGCAGACTTCCTCCAAGTGAGGTTCATATGTGTCAACTCATCGGTTTGATTATCCTCTTTCCTGCATGTTTCTTTTTTTAAAAAGCTCTCTCCTCCTGGGGATAAGCATTCCAGACTATGAGTGGACAAACTGGGAGCAGTTCCTATAATAGGAGGTCATTTTTCCGTTGAGTAAAGGAATTGAATTAGGTGATCCCTGAGGTTAATTTCCAGTGCTAAACATTTCTAACTCAGATTTTTTGCCAGATAATTGGGTTCATTAGTTGACTGTGGCTAGATAAGGAAGAAGCAAATTCAAAATTGACTATGTCGTCACAGTATTTATTGCCTCAGGCAGTTGAGCGATTTACTTTTAGTCTTAGCCAGCCTTTAAAAGGAGCAGGCAAGGGAACCTCTATAGAATTTCTCCCCCTCCTGCAGTCACCACGCATTTATTCAGCAGAGTCTAAGGAGTATTCTGATAGATTAGAGACCTATGGTAAGAAGGAACCAGTGGACCACTCAAGTCAGTGTAGAATTCCAGAGGCTTATGCCTGCTTAAATGTAAATCTAGAGGGAAGAAATACAGGAGATAACTAAAGGAAGAAAAATCTGTATTATTCATTGGTAATAGTTTAAAGACCCAAGAATTGTTCGTGTTACTGCTGGATGCTGGTGGGTTTTGTTTAAGGATAAAGTGGAATACAGTCTGCTTTAATGGTCTCCCTTCTGTTTAAGTTTTCCAGGTAACATTAGGGAAATTCCTCCACAATTTACATGGTGTCAAGGTGATAGGTTTAAAACATACCAGTGTCTTGAGATAGGAAATATGTAAGATGTGGTTCTTTTTAGTACCTAATTTGTAACTGAGGCTGAAATTTTTAATGGGTACAGTAGGCATCTTTTTACCCTTACCTCAAAAATCATTGGCCATTTCTGGTAATTCAGAAATTCCCGAGGAATTCTACCAATTAGGTCAAAAAATTGTAGTGACATAGCTGAATCATGTGATCACTGGCCGTTGACAAACAGAAGCACAACTTTCCAACCCTGCTGTTTTTTGGTTGAAGACGTAGCTTTTGCTTTATTTTTCGTAGGAGAGGAGGAGAAGGATACTGGGAGTGATGATACTAAAAAACAAAACAGAAACCTCCTGGCCTCTTCATTTAAATTGCCATCTTAGAACCTAAAACTAGTTTGAATGCCCTGTGGTGAATTCCACCCTTGGGACATACCTTCTTCCCGTGGATACAAAATACACTTCCAGTTTGGAAATCAACACTAGGATAAGGCCCTCAGCATTTTTGTTTTTAGCTACTTGGTGGTAGAGGAACTTAAGTGATTTCTCCAAGTTTGTCCAGTCACATCCTAATTTGTGTCTTTGTCCCTTGACGGCCAAGAGGCTGTTGGCTCCCGCACTCGGCCTCTTACCAACCCTAACATCTGTGTCCTTCTTCCATCCTGCTGGATAAATAGGCAGATCCAGGCTTGCCTGTTTCTGAGACCATCCTGAGCAGCTGAGTCATCCCTTCTGCAAGATACCTTGCTTTTTTCTCCCTGCTCAAAATGCTTTTCAAAAGGTTTTTCCCATTTTCTTCTTAAGACCTACCTTTCTGTCTGACTGCTAACTTTTTACCTGTTTTCACACACTCTTTAAGTGTGAGTGGAAGCTTTAGAAATTTACACACAGGCTGTGAAATGACAAAGGCTAAGAAACACCACAGTGAAGTGTAGGTGAAGGGAGTTTCCCACTCCACCTGTCTATATTCAGTCCATGCAGTGGGCCCTCTGAATTGCTAGGTAGGTGAACAAAATTGTGGATGGTTTAACCAGCCTGTAACTCAGTTTCCTTGTTCAAGGTCAGAGCACTGAGAAGGAGGGGCACACAAGGGTACTTTCCACTTTCGTGTAAAGTGTTTCTGCAGTTCTTCCCAGTACAATTTGCAGAACCCTCAGATCTATTCAAGGGAAAGAAGGGGTTTCCAGCACTCCTTTGGGAGTCTGACCCCTCCTTCCTTTTTTTCTAGGTACTTGGAAGTTCTGGTAAAACATACACATGTTTGGCTTCCTGTCATTACTGTTCATGTCCTGCATTTGCCTTCACAGTGCTACGGAAGAGTGACAGCCTGCTGGTGAGAATGGGATGGCTCGTCCCACTGCAGTTATGTTAGGAAAGAAACTTAGGCCTTACTGTGCAGTTTAACAGTTGTACAAAACGGGAATTTCTCTACATGTTGAAACAAATAGTAGTGTATTGTCCTTGACTTCAGCTAGTCATCTCTTTGGGTTTACCCTCCCAAAATGCAGTGCTATTTTTAGAACTACATCAATTTCTTGATTTTTTTTATTTAAAAGGTTGCAGATGAAGCTTTGGGGAGGGGAGCCAGGAGAGCACACACACGCAGGGATGTTATCCACTGCAATTAACTTTCTGGAAGCAAAGAAGAAAGAGTGTAACAGGACTAAAAGGAGGAGCCTGACTTGGTTTTCACTTTGGCAACAGGGTCTAAACTGTTTCCCAAAAAAAAAACAGGTGAAGTGAAACTTCCTTTGTCCCCTCTGGCTTCTAGAAAGAATGCATCTGTCTCATCTCTGCCTGCAGTTCTTAGGTAGTAAGTTGAAGGCCCAAAAACTGTGTGCCCCACATTTCCTACTAAATGTGATGGTGGTGAGAGGTCTTGGTTAGCCTGGCTGGCCCTGCCAGTTTTTAATGGGTTTGTTATGTTTTGTATTCCAGTGCAAGCATCTCTTGGCAGTTTACCTTAGTCAGGTTATGAGGACCTGTCAGCAGCTAAGTGTCTCTGACAAGCAGTTGACTGATATATTATTGACGGAGAAGAAACAAGAAGTGTAAAAGGCACAGATGGAGCATCATTATCTTTCACAATAGAAGTCCCGTCATGAAACACATTTAACCTATCGTGGTTTACGTGGAAGAGAGGTGAAATGCATCTTCCAGGGACTTGTTACCGTCCATTTTCCCTTCCGGACTGCAGAAAGGACTGTGTTGGAACCCAGGATGTGTCATAAAAACTCTGAAGCAGTGTCTTGAGTCCCTTAGGTGAAGAATTTTCTAGATGGAATCAAGCATGTTAGACTCAAAGCCTAATGTCATGTCTTGTTCACAGTCGATTCTTAAGTAAATAACTAGTAATTTCTGAGAGATTGGAATGGTAGATGAAATGGAGTAAGATGAAGTTCAGAGGAGTATTAGTTCTCTGCCTTGGGTCCAGAAGTCATCCTGTAACAATAAAAGATCAGAGCAAAGATGCAACTGAGCAGCACGTTCACAAAAGATGGGTTCTGGTGTCAGTGAGCTTCCACTATCTGGAGTGTTTGTGCAGAAAAGCTTACGTAGACTTCTTAGGAAGGGAGTGTCCAGAGCAAGGCAAGAGTGGCCGGTTCTGAGCTTTATAACAGGCCAGTAAAGGGAGGCCTGAAACTCATGTCCTGAAGGGAGCTGAACATACACTGCCAGGGATTTCCAGCCTGAGGAAGAAAGGGCAAAAGGGATGCCAAGACCGGTGTTAGAAGGGGGAGAAATAGGACTCGTTTAGGCCCCAAAAGAAATCAAAGGAACGATGAGAAATGAAAATGACAGACTTCAGCACAAGATGAGCTTTTTTAATAGGTACATGTGTCCACAGGCAGCATGGGATTCTAGGACAGGAATTCTTTGGCTCTGCAAGAGTCCATAAACCTGCAGTGTCCTTGCAGAGATACTGCAGAAGGGACTGAAGCAGGGAACAAACATGGAATAGCTGTGCAGAAGGCGACGGATGCCAGTGTTCTGTGGTTGGCAGGGCCTTTTCTCATGTTGAGTTTGTGGCAAATAAAATAATATATCAAGAATTTTCTAGTTGGGAAATTTGGGCCAGTTATAAATTTACTGTTTAAGCAGTCTTAAGGGTAAAGAATAAAAGCTCTGTATGACAACCAATGCAATACCCTGTTTTTTTTTCTTTTATTTTTATTTCACTTAATACAGTTACATAGTTTTACTTAGTAAAATGTTCACACTTTGGGATCCAGCAACTTGGCCAAACTTGAACTTGGGAAAGAAGTAAAATTCACTACCTGGCTCTGGAAGGGGGGACATGGAATCTGGCAGAAAAGGGAGCCAATTTCCCTGGTTTCATCCTCTAGGGTAGTCAGCTATATATGGAAAAAAATTATCAAAATTGTTATCTGATGATATTCTACTTTAGAATTTAAGAGAGTACCATTTCCCTAAATGAGTAGAGCAGTTTGTAGCTTAAAGAATTATACTTTTAATTTTCCTGGGAACAAGTACATATATTTTTATTATGTTAACTTTTATTTTTCCATTGCCTTGAAGTTAAACATTTGTGTTATAATAGTTCACAGTGTTTCACAGTAAAATAGTTTGAATTATTCTCTACCATGAAAAACAAATGTTTAACAAAGCAAAATAGCCTATTAACAGTCCATTCAAGCCATCAGCATTGCCCAGACAGTATAGCTAGAGAGAACAAGAAATACATGTGTCAACCCTTGGAGCCTGCTGATAACATGTACATATTAGCTAGATGTGTGGTGATGTCCAGAAGAGGCAATCCTTACGCTTGTGATGCGTAGCTGTCTTTCACAATGACCATCAGCTGGTCAGGTCCTGTCCCTTTGTTAATTGTAAATTCATGCCTTTTCAAAGAGCATCAGTCATAGGCCCACATCGAGAGCAGGCTCTGCCCCCACCTGCCCATTCCCACTCTTGAGGACTTCTGTCTGGCAGAAAACATACCTAGAGATGATTTTATGAAAAGTGTAGCGGAAGTCTTGGTTCCTGTAGGCATAGACAATGGGATTGACAACCGAGTTGGCATGTGATAGGAGAATGGCTATGTTCATTGCCCACTTAGGCTTATCCTTAGCCCACGCTGGCTGAAATAGATTGAAACAGTTGATGGCATGTACTGGTAGCCAGCACAGAGCAAAAATCCCAACGATCGTAGCCAGGGACTTGGCTACGTGGATCTCCCGCTGGAGGGTGGTCCTCGAATGGTCCATCAGCTCCGTGCGCTGCAGCTGCCTACAGGCCACCATGAAGATCTTGAGGTAGATCACCAGCATTATGAGCAGTGGGGGCAGGACACACCCAAAGAAATTGAAGTACACCATGTAGCTCATGGGGACCACATTCTCAAAAAGACACCTGACAAGGCAGCAGCTTTCATTTGTGGCTCCATCCCAGGGCTCTGTGCAGTTGGTGGCACTGTCCTTACTGTTCCACCCCAGGAATGGGGTCAGGCCAATGCCAAAGGCAAGGACCCAGAGCACAGCAATAACTCCTCTGGCTCGGGTCCCAGTGACCAAACTCTTGTACCTGTTCAAGAAATGTCATGTATTATTGTCAGTTTACAATGCTTGGCAAAGTCCAACAGCCTACCCTTGCTTTTGCACATGGCCTTTACCCCTAACAGCCTCTATAAAGTTCACCATCAAAGGGCACCAGGGCCTTTTACCTTCAACACTAAAGACACAGTGTTTTGCTTTGCTCCAACAGGTTCAGTAAGATTTTCATACTTGACTAACTTACCTCTGTTTACAAGTGGTCAATGAGAACGATGAAGAAGTCTCAGAGGGTGCTTTCTAATGACTCAGCTCCTGACCTGTGATCCAGGCCTTCTATAAGACACTGTCCAGGTGGCTGAGATACACCAGTGAACAGCACACACAAAGATCCTGCTTTTCAGGGATTTACACTGTGGTAGAGGGAGATGGTAATAATACACAGCAAACAAAAGTTAGTAAGTTATATGCTATGTTTGAAGGAGATATGTGTATTATGGAAAAGGAAAAGCAGAGGAAGGAAAACCAGGACTGGCAGGACCTAGTTTTAATGAGGTCAGTCAAGGGAAGCGTCATTGCTAAGGTGACACTTGAACAAAACCAGGAGGATGTGAGGATTGGAGCCCCCTGGAGGGACTACCTGGAAGCTCTGGGCAAGAATCCTGACCTACAAATAGACAAAGAGGATGGCCCTGGGCCATGGGAGGAATTGCCCCTGAACACTGTAAACTGCTGAGAGCTAGGCTTCTGGTCATGCCCCATCTCTGCTAGCATTCATTGACAAAAATCGGGAAATAACCAAAAAAAAAAAATTCTTTTGGTTATTTTTAAACCATTAAATCTTATTTAAAATGACTAAAATCATTTGTTTTTAGGCATTTTGCTATAAACTAGTCCATATATGCTTTATAGCAAAGCTCTAAGCTTGGCTGTTAATAATTGATTCATAATATGTATTCAATGCAATTGTTATATAAATGAAATAAAAAATTAGAAAATAATTTGATACACATTACCTTAAGATTTGTCTGGAAAGTGTCCAGTTTCCTCCCCCTGCAGGATAAGGCCTGTACTTCTCAGCAAGGCCCACTAAGCCCTCCAGGCCTCAACCCCACACATCCAGTGCCTCTATTCCTAACCAGCAACTCCCTCCCAGCCCATGCTGCTGTCAGTGCTGGACAAGATACCTGTCCCTGTTTCCGGGGTCCCCTCCTTTCCTGATCATCCCTCAGGCAGAGGTGGCCACTCTCACGCTGGTGCCACACGCACCTGTCATAGAGCTTGTTTATGTTGTATGTATTTTTCCCTCAATTAAAATGTCAGCCGCTTGAGCACTGGGACCTGTCCCTTCGTATTGGTATCCTCAGGACCTGCACAGTGCCTTGCTTACAGGCTCTATATGGCCATCACGAATACATTCCTTGTTTGTGATCTGATTTGTCTGGTAACATTCTACTTATTAAGAATACCTGATGCTGTGGCCCGAACAGGCAGGAGAACTGGCTTAGTTTGCTGAGGAAGTTAGTGATCCCTAATCTGAGGAAGTTAGTGATCCCTAATCTTTTCTGCTCCCTATAAGGGCAGCTCAGTTTTGAGGCCTTTACTACAGATGATCTGCTGGACTCAGTGGCTCACTGGATTTTTTCTGGCCAATAAATCCATCTATTTCCAAATCCTTTCTGCTTCCTTCCTCATCAGGAATGTAAAACCAGTCCTTAAAAAAACTGTTACTCCTGGTCATTATCTCAAGCAGCGATGTAAATAAAGCACTTGGTCCCTGCAGGATAACAGGCAGCCAGCCCCCTAAAAGCCAGACACTAAGAGTCACAAGACTTTAGATCTGTGGGCACCTACCCTCACTCCTCATTGTTCACAGGACTCATCTGTATTTAACTGAGTACAGCTGAATACAGGCCCGCTATGGGGGACGACTTATATTTGGGGGAAGCAAATCCTCTTGTCAGTAGTGGTCCAGGGTAGATACATGGGTGGCAAGTGGGACAAAAGGAAGTCTGCTGGGCTGGACAGATTTCACTTCTTGATAAAAGGAGACAGACCCAAGTGGAGAGCTCATCCCAACACCAACACCCATCGCTTTCTGGTTTTGATGCACTTATGGGAGGCTATGATGTCTAGAGCTGCAGCAGCCATCTTGTGACCATGAGGGACAAGCCTGAAGACAGAGCAAACGGCAAAGCAAAAGGAAGGAGGGCAACCACGTCCTTGATGATGTCTTTGAGCTACACCAGCTCGAGAACCATCATGGCTCCATTTTCATCTTTAACGTGCCACTGGTACTTGAAACTTTAAAGTAAAAAAAGTTCATCATCCATTTTATCATCTAAAATAAGTTCCTGATTTCCTCCTAATTAGCAGATAGTTTCCCATTCAAGCAGCCTTTGAACCAAGTTTCAGAGACATGCGCCTGCAGACCCGTCCCCCAGCTGCCAGAACACATCAGCAACACAGAGCCCCCACTGCCCAAGCACCTGCTCCAAGGGGCACTAAGCTGCATGGTTTACCCATCTCAAAACATGCCTGCTGACCTCAGAGCTGCCACCTCCAGTTTCCACGTGTGAAAACTGAGGCTCAGAGAGGTTAAATTACTGCTTCCCCTAAATCAGGACACAAACCCAATCTAATACAACTCTAATTTACCAAAAGCAGTCATCTTCCTGCTCAGGAACCCACAGCTCTTTCACAAATCCCAGCTCTGGGCCCAGCCACGGGCCCATTACAGGTGCAGCCAGCCACGTTCAGCTGCTTCACGTTCCTCCTAGACATGTCTCCCCTTCCCAAAGTGCCTGCCAGCTCTAGGGAGCCTCCCCTCTGAAGCCACGTGGGAACTGGAGACTTGGAGGAAGAGGCCTCTGCAACCCTCTTGGCAGGCAGTCCTTAAAAGGCAGCAAAGAGACTTTCTTTGTTCTGTAGGACGCAATCGACCCACAGGAGAAGGGTGGACCCCAAAGACAGAAGCACACTCAGCCTGGAGCTCCAACTCCATGATGGCAGAACCGTGTCCATGAGACCCAGGCAGGCCCCAGGCCCAGGATGGGAGACAGGAGTGCTACAGAAGGCAGCCAGGCGTCCCTGCACGGAGCAGCCTGCTGCGCGGGGATGACCCCTGGGTCTCAGACATCTCAGGAAGGCTCCGGAAACCTCCTGCTGTGTCTCCTCATCTCCTTCCTCCAGCTGGGCCTCTGTCCTTCCCCTGAATGGCTCTCTCCCTCCCTGGCCCCACATTTTGCTCCCTGTGCACCAGAGGCTCTCAGGACAGCCCCATGCATGCATGTGTGTGTGTCCCTAAAACATTCCTGAAAGGCAGGGGCCATGTCCTTTGCTACATTTACCCCTCTGCCAGTCACTCAGAGGGCACTGAGCACAGCAGTAAGGCCGAGGAAGCCGCACTTCTGCCCCAAGTATAGAGAAGTAAACAAAAGCCATTGGAAATGAATAAAGGAAACGGGCAGCTTTATTATCCCAAACAAGCAGGAGCAGTCCCAGGCCCCCACAGAGGGGAGTCCTGGGATAGCCCCGCTCTGGGAGTGGCTTTGCTCCGCTTCTGTGCATGGAGCAGCACCGTGACCCACCTGCTGTCCATCTCAGGGGCTCATTAGCTAAGGAGGCTGACAGAAAAACAGGCACATGGAGGGGCAGTGTGGACACTGAGGTTATGTAAGGGAAGAGGGGAGCGCCAAGGGCTGCCTGACAGGTGCTGGCCCATTTCTGGGGCCCTCAGCTCAGACCAGGTCTCCTTAGCCTCAGAAATCAGAATGCCCAGCTCTTAGGTAACACTACCCCAGGCAGTGACCCTGAGCCTGGCCAGTCCAGCAGGGGCTGGATAGTCTGAGCTCTGGCATCAGAAAAATGGGGCAAACAGTGGCTCCAGAACCCACCTCACGCTGCTGCTGGGGCTTCTAACATAGATAAAATGTGTACAAAGCACTTTACAAATGCAAACTGCTTAGTAAATGCACACAGACTTCTGTTGCTGCTTCTTAATACTGTTTATTACTTGTTTAGGGACTTTTTTCTTCATATTCTGTCTAGTTCAGAAGTTTCATTCCTCTGTAAAACAAACATTTCTACTATAAAGCAATATATACATTCTTAGAAAACCTCACATTCTCTAAAATTATACATGAATAATAATATGACTAATAGGAAAAGGGGGAAGGGCAGACCACACAAAACCTACACAACTGTATAACTAGAGGACTAACAAAGTAACGTGGACCACCCAGGCACGCAGTGCAATGGGGCTGGAAGCTGCCATGGTGAATATTAAAGATGCACTAAAAAGTCTGGCAGAAATCCCGGCTGAACTGTAATTAGAGCAAAGCTGCTGGGTGCCAAGAACAAAGCCTGTAAGAGGAGTTCTGAGCCTGGGGACTGCATCAGGTCAGGCTTGGTGGGCAGTGACAAGACCAACGGGCTGGGCCGTGGCTTTCTGCGGAAGGAACAGCCCAGACACGGGTTTTTTCTCTTTGGTCCTGGGAGCCCAGAGCTGCTCCAACTGTACAGCAGTCGAACTAAGGGCCTTTTCCTTCCTCTGGGGAAACTCCTGCTGCCCCACTATTCCGGCTCCTTTTGCTTGGCAACATCAGAGATGGAGCATGGCCGAGCTGGCGCTCTCTGCTCTCCCAGCATCCCTCCCCTGTGTATGCATGGCAGAAATTCCTGGGGGAGGGGATCGGATTGCACTGAAGCACTCCATTGTGCTCCTCCCGACCCCCACAGCACTCTCCAAAATTCTCCCACATAACTACTCATTTTCTGTCTCCCTCCATTTGAATAAGGTGCTCCTTAGTGGCTGTATTTGCTGTTGTATCCAACACACCTAACTCCAGGCCTGGCAACCAAATGCTGAACAGAAGCCTGATTTCACAAGAAGGGAACAAAACTCTGGCTTCTCGGTCACACATACATGTTTACTAGCCACTTGGCAGCTCTAAACAAAACAAGGCATGGGGTTTGTGAACATGTCTTGAGTTTCAGCTCATAGTTCCTAGGAGGCTGTCTCTATAAGAGGGA